CGGAATAAAACCCGCAGCCGCAAAGTCCCGAGCCGTCCCCGGGCCCAGCAGGGGGACCGCCGTGGGGGCAGTGCAGGAGGGGTAGGGGATTCCCCTCCCGTACCCCGCTCCACCTCCTTCGCGAGCGACCTATCGCCCTTCTTCGCGGTGCTGCTGGAGCTGAAGCAGAGCCTCGCCAGCTACGACGATAAGCGCCGGCGGCGGTTGAACGGGGTGCTGTGGGCGACCTATAAGGCATCCTTGCCCGCAGGCTCCACTGAGGCCCTCACCCCAGACCAGTCCATCTCCTCCAGCCCGGCCCTCTTCGAGAGCCATTCGACCCTCCCCCCGACCGCCTGCTTCCCGGTGACACCGCCGCTGTCTCCCAAGCCGCACAACCTGTCACAGAACCTGTCACAGGCCTCCCCGCGTCCCCTCTCCGGCAACGAGATCGCCCCACTGGCCTTCCCCAAGACGATGAACGCCTCGGCCGGGAGCCAGCCCGTCATGCTCACCACCGTCGCCGCGTCGTCTTTCAGCCTGAAACGCCCACGGGAGGTGCCCCCGATTCTCTGGGATGAAATCCTCCGCCTCCGGGGACTGCGCAACCAGCTTAAGGAAAGTATCAAAAACACCCGAAAAGTGATCATCTCACACATTCGTCAGCTCAATTTAGTACAGGAAATGAATATGGTCGCAAACCACGCTTTGCAAGGGTCTTCGCCTTCGGACTTTGCGAAACCAGCAAGCGGGCGGGCTGTTGACGTTGGAAGTAAGAAAAGGAAATGATGTGTTTGATTATCCTTTTTTATATATATATAACTTTTTTTTATTGTTTTCTAGCAAAGGAATTGTAGTTTTTTCCCGTTACGTCTGCTTGTTCTTTATAAACGTGATATGTACCATGAGAATTAATGTTTATCATATTAGTGTTAAGTTTCTGAATATTGAATATATAAGCTAATTGCCATCATTTGGAGGTTTCTTCTTTTTTTTTCCATTTTAAAGTGATATCATATACTAGTTACTGTATTTATTTGTCTTGCGATTTCATACATATTGAGAGATTCATTTTCTAATCATTATTTTGACAACGGGATATTCTGATTTACTTTTTTTTGTGTAAAATCAGTTGGGAAAAAACACACAATAAAAAATTGATAATCCTTTTCAATTCGGAAAATAACCCTCATTTTGTGTTCAAATTTAGGTTCAAAATCGCCATCTAAATGCATAGTCTCCTCATGAGTATACCATTCCATTCAAGAGTTGATTCAAGTAGTTGTTTTGTACCAATTTATTCCCAAATAATGTAGGTTTTATATCATTATTCGAATCCTTACCCTATTTGTCTCTTTTTTCTTAATGTGTATTCTACTTCTTTTAATAAAAAAGAAATTTATAGAATATCACAACGGGAGCATATGTTTTGGTTTACCAACAAAAGTTAATAGAATGTTATGAAAAGTTTACGTGAAATATTTTTATTAACAGTTTAGTTTTGATTTATTGTGCGATTTAGCTACAAAGTAGTCACGTCGCTTATTTCCTTTTCACCCTTTCGACTTGGGTGTGTTGCCTTTCCCTTTTATTGTGTTTCACTCTTACCCTCATTCGTACACCTATCCACCTTCCGATGGGGGGCTCTTTATCTCGCCAAGAGGAACTTTTCATTACCCACCAATGGTCCATACTGTTGGAGGAAGCGTTGGGCAAGGTAGCTCCTTCAGACATGGGCGATCTATCCGTTGCCATTACCTCTGAAGGCAACGAACGACGTCCTCCTTTACCCGGTGCCCGCACGGATGCATCTAATAAAGGATTTACGCTGAGCTTCAACGAATGGCAAGCTTTTTTGGCTGTTCTAGAGAGCGGAAGGAATGGCAAGGATCGATCTATAGACAAAGAGAATTATGCAACCTTGTCTTCCATTTGTCTGCGACTGCGGCAGGACGAAATACATTGCCCTTTAGTAGTTTTGACTGTGCATGCCTACGCGTGGTGGGCGAATGGGATTAGTGACGAGGTGTTCATGCAACGTCTGAGTGCCTTGCTAGAGCATGTATTTGACTCGGATCAGGGCTTCCATGTCGAGGAATGTAACCAAGAGTGGTCGGACTCCAAAGAGACGCTCAGGGCAAGCGATGAGCAGCTTGACTGTAACCAAAATAAAGTGTCCAAAAGGGGATTACTAAAGAAGGGGCTCAAACGTCTTTCCAATACGTTAAGTTATCCTATTAGGTATTCTAAAATAGCACGTGGTGAAACTCTCGACGTCGCACAAAAATCACCCCCTTTAACGGCTACATCATCTGCCTTATTGCATATACCTGAGTTCCGAGATTTAGTTTGCCTGTTTGGGGGTCTTTTAGAAAGGCGCATTGGTTCAGATTTCAGTCCTGATGGCCAGAATTTAACTACTTCCGATATGTATAGACCCATTCATCACTTTCATGAGAAAGAAGAAGCTGTTTTACTTCAATCCCTAATGGACCTTAAAAGTGATCGCCCGGTTGCTCGCGTAGCACTGAGCCTTTCATTAGCGATTTATGCCATCATGTATCCTCTACCGACGTACGCAAAAGAGGGTATTCAGCAGCTACGCTTGCTGGAGTCCGCGTTGCAGGTACATCGTGAAAAGCAGCGGCGCACTGCGAGCAACCGCCCTTTTGCAGACAAAGCTGTCGAAAAGTTCACAGATGATTTCCCTTCAGTTGGGCATCTCGAGGACGCACTTCTGCGCCGCCAGTACGATCTTGACGCGCGTGAATGCCTTTCTTCTGTTGGGAGAGACCTAGAAAATAGCTTGGTTCTTCGGCGTCAAGCCCGCGAAGCTGCAGATTCTAAGGTGTTGTCTGAGAACTCAAATAACCTATCTTCTTCCCTCCCATTCAATAATATGAACTTAGCGGAGCGATGGGAGTACTGCAAGTCGCAGTATATCGGACAACGACATGTGTGGGATACCCTAAAGGTACATTTTTTATCTGCTGGCGTTTTTGACGTGAACAAACCCACCGTTAAGATTTTTTTCGGGCCCTCCGGTTACGGTAAGTCGGAGCTTGCAAAGCAAATAGCGAGCGCGATTCACGGGATCCCCGTTCAAAATCTAGAGTCTTCAGGTAAGCTCATTTACCTGCACATGCCGTCTTTCTGCACGAAGGATAGTATCTACTCACTTGTGGATCCGCCGGCTGCGCATGTTGGAGACGGCATCCTCCTTTCTGCCCTGCTTCAACATCCCGACGCCGTTGTGGTGCTTGACGAATTCGAAAAGAGCACCACGGAGGCAGTTCAGCACATCTGGCTCTCTGCTTTCCAGAAAAATGGCGTCCTGCGCTCGTTGAAGCGCGCTGATCGCTCGGTCTCGACGGTGCGCACGACTTTTATCCTAACCTGCAATATCGCCTCCGAGACGATCGAGGCTCGCCGGGCGCTCTACCTTGGGCTGAGCCTGAGCGACCAGGCCATTGCGCGAGAGGCCTTCGTGGAGGTCTGCAAGGGTTTCTGTCGCGGCACGCTTGGGGACCCCTTCGTGAACCGCGTGGACTACTTCTTCCCCTTTGTACCCTACACCGACGCGGAGCGGGAGCAGTTCGTGCTGCTGCTGCTGGAACGTCTTCTCTCGGCGCAGGCGGGAAAGGGCCGCGTACTGCACCCCACCCCGCGCGCCGTGCGGGCCATCACCGCCAGCCTCGAGACCTTCCACGGCGAGACGGTTGAGGCCGCACTGCGGCCCCCGCTCCTCCACATGGCCCAGCGCGGCTACCGTGAGGCCGTGCTCACGGTCGCGGAGCGCATCGCACCCGGGCCCCTGTCCTTCATCCTCATCCCCTGCCACGCCCTTGCGAACAGAAAGGAAGAGGGCGAAGAAGAGGGGGAGGGATGGGAAGCGGGGCTGACCTGGGCGAGCCTCCCCACCGGCCCCGCCTGTCTCGCCGCGTGGCACAGGGCGGCAACGGGGGAGGGCGCGGTGGCACAGCCCGTGAGGGTCAAGACCCCCCCGATAGCCTCCACACAGGTCCCTTTTCAACTCAGGACGATTGCGGAAACACCCACCGAAGGGCGCAATTGGCCCTCTGTGGCTCTTCCAGGGCCCGCAGTTGGCTCTGGAACCACGACCATCGTGCGGTCACTTGAGGCGGGCGAGGTTGTTTACCAGATGGATTTTGAAAAAGTGCAAGCACTTCAGGTTGAGCTGAACAACGTCAAGGATGTGTTGTTGGCAACGGAAAAGGAACTGGAGTTTTATAAGAAAAAGACAGTGCTGCTTGAGAAGCTTTTGGGTGTGGTGTTGCTAGCGCTTGGTTGCTGCCTGAGTGTACTGTATGTCATTATAGGGTTGAAGCTAACCTTGTTCCTAGTTTTATCAACAGGATTTATTGCATTTGGGTTGTTAGGCCTTCCATTACGGCTAATTTACGACGCAGCGCGTGCACTTTTTAATACCTTAGGTCCATTCAAAAGTGCTGTTCTATTGGCTTTTATTCTTCTATGGGGATCACGGGCACTCAAAGGACTTCGATGTGAAAGCAAAGCATATCTTTGAATTAATTTTCATCTACATATGTTCAAACTGCTTTGATAACGAATCTGATTATTCCAACACATTATCTTCTAACTAGTAGCAACAATTACGCATATTTCATTTCTCACCAGCCTATTCTGTTTCAATCTATGAGGTGTTCTAGAAAATCATTTGTCCGTATTTCCATTAATTAGTATTATGTATGTTTGCTTATAATTTACTTTATTTATTCATCGTTAACACTGATGTGTTAGTCTTTTTTACGAATTATATCTGCTGATTTTTTGCTCCTTCTGGTTAAAGTAAAGCGAATGGTACACTACCAACAACTAAACGTAAATGAAAACTGTAAGTGAGTGGTTGGCAACTTCTAGTGACGACGATGATGCTATCGGGAATAGCCACCTGAACGCGAAACCATCTTCGCAATCCAAAAAAGAGCAGTCTTCTTCACCTTCACAGGGTGATCCGCCATCAACGTTCACTCAAAATGTATTATTGAATGCAGCATCGCCAATTTCTACGGTCTCTTTGCCCAAAACTGATAACATTAGTACACAAGCTACAGCTCCCGAAGCTTTAGGCGAAGTTTCACAGGGGCCTCCACCGGGGTACCGTGCGGTGGAAGTCATGGTAGTAGATCGTGGTACGCAAACTATGAGCACAGTTAGCACTCAAACGGATCCTTTACCGCCACATACGAACAATTGGGGCACAAGAGAATGTTTTATGAATCCATGTGGGGTTCATGCCCCTAATGGGATGCCTTTTGGAAACAGTCAAGGAATAAAAGGTGCAGGAGTTACTGGAAATCCTATCTCATCAATCATTAGCCAGCGTCCTTACTATCATTTACTACAGCAAGTCGAAGCGGATCAATCTCATAGTATCACTGAATTGAAGCATCAACTTGCACTCATTCAGAATACAGTAGACACACTTATTAGTCGATATAACCTTCCACCACCTCCATTTTCTCCATTGTTATAGATTTTTCTCTTATTCCTATATTTTGCTTTACTGAATGTTTTCCACCTTGAATCTTTACTTTAGATCCATAGGCTTTGTACCATAGAAGTCAGAAGCTATTTATCTTATGTTTTTATATACCCTTTCTTTTTTTATAAGTTACATTTATCATTTATACCCCTTTAATCAATAATATATGTCTATTGGTAAATATTAATCATCTTAAATTCTCCTCTTTTTTTTAAATATTTAGATACGTGCCGATTTTTTCCAAAAGTTATCCATATAGTCTAATAATATAAGAAGCATTGATATTACTTCAAGATTAATGTCAGAATGATTCCATTAGGTCATGATATGGAAATCTCTAAATACTACAACAATCCATTCAAAGATAATAACGATGCTGTGTGCTACGCGGAGATCTGTCCTGAAGAGGTAGATATACGCACTCCCTCCTTAAGCCCCGCAGCACTCATCTCACAGCACCATCAAGATCTGCAGTCTTGCCATTATGAAGATACTCTTTCTAAGATTTGTTTGGATAGCAATCCGGAGAATATGCCCTTTAGTGAATCACGGCCTAGGAACTCAGGCAATATGTTTGTTCAGTCTTCCCAAGAAGAACTCCAGCACGCGAATAACACCCTCCATACTATGCAAAATGAGTATGAAAACCTGATAGAATCCCTCCGCGTTCAGCTGGCATCTTCGGAAAATGCGGAGCGGGAGGTTAAGAATGAATACACCAAACTTAAAGACAGCATGGAGTCTTCCCTACTGGAAAAGGGACAGCTCAAGGAAACACTTGAGAGGCAACAAAAACAAAATGACCTCTTACAAAGTCGCATTACTGAACTTGAAGCTCAATTAAAAAGCCGCGAATCACACACGTCCGTGGAAAGCGCCACAACTCTTGTCTGTCAGCGGGAGTCATCGGAAACCCCTCAGCCGAGGCGTGATCCTCGGGAAATAAGGCCCGCAACCGACGAGCGAAGCAACGCCGCGAAAGACCCCCGGGCGTACAAACAAAGGGCCTTACTTTCTCAACCCACAAAACCCGAGTCGGACACGAGGCCAGTGATGTCGGAAAAGGAATTGGAAACCGAATTACTCCGTAATTCCCAGGCACGTGACGCGCTAGTTGGGCAGATGCAGCGTCTTGAAAGCTTACGCACACGGACTGCGGCTACAATTAGGGAAAGGTCAACTACTCAAAAAAAATTAGAGGAGGTCGAGAAAGAAATCGGTCGCATCCGACTTCACCTGCGTTCGCAACGAGGGCACGGTCGGTAAAAACTTCACGTGGTGATATAGAAAAAAATCGGAATAAATGACAAGCAGTGTTTTGAAAAATGAAACAGCTTATGAGCACCTTCTCATCGTTTATGCGATATCCTCTTCCTATGGAGTTATCATTTTTAAAAAATCACCACTGTAATTTTTTGATATCAGTGTTGTCCCTTCATTACGGTTTTTATCATTAAACTCTCTGATCGACTTCCTTTGCGTTTTTATTCAATCCTTTTTTTTCCCCCATTTACCTTTTGGATGCTTGGTATTACATTGGTGTCATTAATTATCTAAAGGTTGTATATAAACATATCTTTAAAAGATGGGCAATCAAGGAGTTATGGGTCTCCATTCCCAATGCTATCTCGGAGATCAGAATTTAAATGAGAATAAAAACCATCACGATAGTGTACAATATAAGAAATTAGTCAAAATCAAGGGCGTTTCGACCACATATGAGGTGCCTTGCGATCAGAAAAGTCCATTATGTGTGCGTAATATCTACTCTCCAATAGCCTATGGAATTAGAAGAAAGCAGCGTGCGCTGGAGGCGCGGCGAAAATTGCGAACTCGGGAAATTCTTGAACAGTGTAGTAACTTGTTTGATTCTGGTGAAAATAATTTTAATTATCGGTGCAGAAACAAAAACTTATTAAGTATTTCTGGTACTTTCTCTGAAAATAAGCATCCCAACCAGATATCTTTTAATCGCTATAGAGAGGATAGCTCTGCGGTGGCAGTATTTGTTATGTCGGTTCATCCTTCTTTTCCTGCTTCTAAACGCCCTACCATTCAACCAAATGTACGTCAGGCGCTCGTTGATTTATTTAGTGGTACCGATTTGTGCTTTCTTTCTGATGTTGATGGAGAAACTATGGTTTGTACGGCTGTCTTGCAATTGACTAAAGGTGTCGATATTCACGAGGGTAGTATTGTTATTTACAAAGGGTATGACCGATCATTTGTTCATAGTTATGTTCCTCTTTCTTCAGTGAGCACCATATCTAGAGGTTTGGAGCCTGATGAGAAGGAATACTATGCTAAATCGGGCGAAATCCTATCTTGCAAAACTACCAGTGAAGAAATATTCCAAGTGGACCTTAAGAGAGCTTTTACATTGCACTATTATTTACCTACGGACTTTTATGCAAGCTTCGTTGCTTTTTCCGACAAGGATATGCAGAAATGGATTGATGCGATCAGTTATTTCACATTTGTTAATGAGGCTTTCAATGACTATACGAGTTGATATACCTATTTATTTACAGTTTGTGATAGGAATAGTAGCCTTTTTTTTAAAAGAGGTAATCGAAACAATATTAGGTTTTAGCAGGTGTTTTGACATTCTTATTTCTATGTTTATCTCACATGCGATACTTTTGTTTTTACTATTATATATTTTTAGAAATAGCTCAATTTAGTGTTTAGTATCAGAATTCCACTATGTTTCTAGTCTTTTTTTTATACACTCATGCCTTTTAAAATTATTTCTTTTTTTTCATTGAATTCACGTGATAATATTTTAAATAATTGCTCCCTAATGTTAAGTGATCGCGTTTTTAATTGAATCTTTTATTATAGATAAATTATCTTTAAAGCTTACTAAACAAAATAAAGATTCATGTGTTGACTATTACATGAAATATATGTACTTGCATTAATGTATTGGGTTATCAAAAAAAAAAATCTATCTTAAATAAAAATTTCATATAAAATGAATATAATGTTTTTTTTTTTTATGCGATTCTTCTCGTTTCAGGTGATAACTTCCTATATATATATATATATATATATATATATTCATTCGTATATAAAGAGATAGAAATAGCGAAAAAAAGATATGTATTCCAATTCACAGATTTCCGACATCGTTAGCGACCAGGTTGTTTCGGGGGCGATTATATTGAAAGAGATCTTCGGCAACTTCAACGCACCATTGAGTGCAGCTGCCATTTTTTCATTGGCTTGGATAAGGCGATATTGGAGTTTACTGCTTTACTTTGTAATTTTGAGAAGGCTTTACAAAGCCATTAGTTTCAGAAATATTTGGAAAGGGTTGAGTATCAAGTCATCTGCGAAGGCTAAACCGCAACTTGCTGATGTGGTTGAGTCTTTACCATTAACCAAGGTATCAGACTCGCCTAAACGAGTGCGTGTAAATTCAGATAGGACTTCTATTTTCCGCTCTACGGAGAAGGTCCCAAATTCAAACCAAGTTCTTATGACGGACGGAATGATATTAATTAACCGAGACGATAGGTATTTAGAGTTATATGAACGGCGGAAAGTCTCCAAACTGGAAAACATCGATGAACAGGTTGAGGAGCTGTTACAACAGTTTCTTCCAAGGAATCAAAGGATCTAATTCTAGGACATTTCATTTCAAAACTCATCGTAGTGTCTTTTTCTGTATTTTAAAAATTGCTGTTATAGTTTATTTATTTCTATTGATTGATAAAGTTTACAATCAAGTAAATCAAACGTATGCATTTTTTATTATCATTTTTTTTGACCTCTTTAAGTTTGTAATGAGCTTCTCAGGGTGTTGTTATAGTTTCAGAAATATGAGTTGAGAGAAAATTTATCGTTTTAAACACTCATTTTTGATTCTCAATATGAATGTCAAATATTTTTTATTTCAGAAGTCTATAAAAAATTATATTACTTGAAACCTTTTATAAATGTTCCCAAAATTCAGAATAAAAAGTTCAAAAATATAATTGTCGGGCACCTTTGACGTCCTGCATAGGAGTTTAAGCCTTTTCAAGCTTAAATTTGAAAGGCCTCATAAAAAGAATAGATAAGTGTATGTGTTTTTGTGGTGGGGTGGGAATACTAATGTGCATAAAAAGAAATCCATAAATATCTTAGATTTACGATCAATAGGCAAAAAGAGAAATATTTTAGGTGACACCTTACGGTTTAAATGCATCTCTGTAGTTGCATTTAGGTGGTTGGGATTCCTTACTTTTTATTCCTAACCTTAGTTTTGCACTTATATGATGGTAAAAATGTGTAGAATATATATATATTATTTCTTTTCATCGTTTAAACCTCTTTTTTTTCACGCAATTTAATACGAATTAATCCGTGAACTAACTGTTTCTGCGAAAACATTCTCTTTTCATATATCAGCTTACATTTTCATTCATTTAGTTTTTTTTCAGTATTTTTATTACTAATTATTGTATTCCCAGAGTAACGATGCAATTTGACGAAAAACCCGTTGGTATGAAAGAGGATAAGGGGAATGGGCTCCAGGCAATGTCATCCTCGCCAGCCGATGACTTCAGCAATCTACCTCTAGAGAAGCTCTTGAAGCACCACAACTGGAGGGCTCGAAAAGAAGGCTACGAAAAAGTGACGCAGAATATCATGCTGTATAGAGAAGATTTTTTCAAGACCTTAAAAAATTTGCCTCACGAGCAAAACATACCGGCGCTGGAGGCTTTGATCAAAACCGCGGCAACCCTTGCGAAGTCTGCGAATGAGGCCGAGTTTAGCGTGCTTTCTCATGCGTTGCTTTCTGTCGTTTTAGAGAAGGGAATTACAGGCCGACCAAGCGCGGTGGAAAGTAGTTTTTACCTTATTTCGCTCCTCGTCGAGAATGGGGGGCAGGAGGAGGTGTTTGATCTCCTTCTCTCGGCAATGACGCACAAAACCCCAAAAAACCGAATGGCAGCGGCCCAGCTCTGCGCCAAACTGGTACAGGACTTTGGCGTCCAAAGCCTCCCAATCAAGCCGATCTTAAAGGCGATGCAGCCCCTTTTTAACGATTCAAACCCATCGGTCCGCAAGGAAGCGATTAATTTGTGCTGTCAGTGTTATCGATACATCGGCGCCGGCATTAAAAACTCCCTTGTTGACCTCCGCGATGTGCAGCTTCAGGAGCTGGAGCAAAAGTTTGCCGATGTAGTTCTTGGCGGGGAGCATCCGAAGCGAATTAAAGGAGAATGCGAACCTGGTCGGAATACCACCAAGACCATCGCACCCGTTTCCTCTCTTTCTCGTGAGAAAGTCAACAACGATCTTACGGACGATGAGTATTCTATGCTAAGCGAGTCGTCAATCCTATCAAAGTTGCCAAAAAACTTCTTCAAAAATGCGCTCGACAAAAGCAAGAAGTGGCAAGATAGATCTTTATTAGTGACTGAAGCGCTCTTGCCACATTTAATTGTACCACGATTCTCTGCAAAAGATGACTATCATGAGCTTACAAATATGATGCGAATTTATCTTGTAGATCCACAGGCGCCCTTAATGTTACTGGGGTTCAAGATGATTGAGGAGTGTGCGCGAGGGCTACGCGCGGATTTTGCTCCATACGCGCGGAATTTTTTGAATCCTCTTTTTGAGAAAATGAAAGATAAGAAATCAAGTGTATTAGAGCACGTTATGAGTACCCTGGAGCGACTTATTCAATATCATTGTATAACTTTGGATCAGTGTTCCGATGAGATGGAACAATCGAGTAATAGTAAAAATCCATCACAACGATTGGCTGTAATAAACTTTTGCACGCGGATGGTAGGTAAATTAGACCGGTCACATTATGGCAGACTTTCCAGATCAACCGATATGTTAAAACGCATAGTGAATGACGACAAGTCGGCTAATAGAGATGCAGCTTACCTTCTTCTTAGCAAGCTGATTCAAGCGTTTGGTGAATCCTCCTTTAGTAGCGTGCTCGGCTCCATGGATGAAAAGCAGCTGACCCGGATGCGCGCGGTCGTAGCAAGTAATACGACCCCTTCCGGCTCACCAGCGAAGAAAGTGCTGCGTGTAGAAAATGAACTAAAGTCAGAATCCGAGGTTCACGTCTCTACGGAGTTAAAATCCTCCACCCAGATAGTTTCCTCGAACGCCACCTCTCCAGTCGCCATGAACAAGGCATCGGCCTCCACCCCCTCACCGCTCCACCACTCCTCCAGGCCCCAACACACCATTTTAGACGACGGTGTCGCGCTGGAGTCGACGTTGGCGACCAAGAATGAATGTGTGAACACGATGCTAGGACTTTTGAATGCCGACACCACGGTGTTGGATCACCTGCGGTCGAGTGAGTGGTCGAAGCGGCATAGCGGTATGCTAAAAGTCAAGGCCACGGTTGAGGGGTGGACCTCTGCCCAGTTAAAGCGCTATTTCGACGTCTTGGTGGTGTATTTGCGCGCTTATCCAGGGTGGAAGGAGTCCATTTTTCAGGTTTTTCAGACTCTTCTGACCGTTCTTGAGGACGCCCTTGCGAGGATGAGTTCGATCTCCCTGGGGGCGGGCTACGTCATTGTGGAGGGCTGTACGCCTCACCTGACGGAGTCGAAGAATAGGAAACCGGTGCGGGATATGCTTGGTCGGATCGCCCACTTTCTGGGGTGGCGGTTTGTCTTCAAGCACATGATCGCCGCCGCTTCTCAGGTCAACACGCCGAAGCTCTTGATGGAGTGCAACGTTTACCTTCACGAGTACCTCGAGGGCATCCTTTCGAGCTCGGACACCGCGGAGAAGGATGGGGGAAAGGACCCTCACGCCCTCAAGCTCAATGAGGTCGACGTCAAGGGCCTTTTGGACTACCTTCGGCGGCCGTGTTTTGAGCAGACCGTCCCTTCTGTCCGCACGAGTGCGGTGCAGCTCCTTCTCGCGCTGGACCGCTACGCCCACGCCAGTGTTCAGCACCACATCGGGACCTTCCCCCCCGCCATGCTCGCGGCGTACGAGCAGGAGGGGCGGCGGAATAGCGCGGCCATCCCCTCCACGGATCCCAGCACCTCCTCGACGATGACTTTGAGCATGGGCAGCCCCGCTCTCAACGGCGGGAACTCGGCAAAGTTGGACAAGACGGCCGCCGCCCTGCAGAAGCGCACGCGCGCGACAAGCGACTCGCCGAGGCCGAGCTCGGCACTCCTGTCCAACGTGAAGACGATGCGCCGCCAGCAGCTCCGCAAGCGCAGCTCACAACGCCAGCCCTCCTTTTCCTCGGCGGAGCCGTCGGGGAATCCCATGCCCTCGGCCTCTTCGTCCGGCCTGGACCTCCCGGTCCGGCTGAGCTCGCTCATTCAGACGATCACCGACGGTGCGGACTGGCGGGAGCGGCTCAACGCGGTCCACACCCTCGAGGATTACCTCCAGCACGGCGGGCCCGACATTTTACCCGCGAGCTCGATCACCCCGCTCCTTCGGGCTCTTTCGGAGCGCCTGGATGAGTCGAATAAGAACTTCGTCGTGGACGTTCTTCGGACGATAGCGGTGGTTGTGAGTGTAGGGGACCGCGCGGAGTGCAAGACCGGTTTATGGCGCCTACTCCCATCCGCGATGGCGATGCTGGGGGACCAAAAGGTCACCCTTCGTGAGGGGGCGCGGAATGTGGTCTTTCTGGGGGTGGAGGTCCTAGGCCTGGATGGGGTGCTGCCGCTTCTGCAGAAACCCCTCACCTCGGATTCAAGTATCACCCGCCAGAATGCGCTGGAGGCAATGCAGTACGGTTTTGTGAATCTGCTGCCCGACCATGTAGTGTCTAAGGCCGTTTTACAGACATTGGTGCCTGCGATCGTCAACGCCCTTATGGATCGCATCTCCGAGGTGCGGATAGCGGCGGAGCAGGTGGTGGGCCATATCGTCCCCATCCTCGGGGACAAGGGGCTTCTTCGCTTTACCAAAAAGTTAAAGCCAGCCGAGCTTCAGATCGTCCTCCCTGCGATTGAGCGACAAATCCAGCTCCACAAGGATACTTCTCTCTGCGTCTATAACAGCAACTCCCTACAGTCTGAGGTGTCATCCTCGATTCACATGGAGGCGTTGCCCTTACACAGCTGTGAGACCCGCACGCTCTACAGCGCCGCGAGCTCCACCTCCCTTCGGCAAGCCCATCCACCGGCGATTCGGTCCAATGTGGTGAATTTTATCAAAACCGAGCCCCCCGTCTCCATCACGAAGTATAACGGCACCACAGCCGGCTCGCACGCCGACGACGTATGCATTTCGAAGATCTCAGCCGAGCTGTCCTTTCCCTACTCCGAGGAAAATAAAACTTCGCATATAAGCATCCCCAAAAGCACAGACACCTTGCGGATGACTGCTAAATCTGATGTCCATAATAGCTCCGCCCATAGAAGCCACCCCAACAATAGCCTTAGTGGAAGCGGCCGCAATGGCAAAAAACCCACCCAGGGTGAGGTTTCAAGGGTCGGCGATTCGGACGCGCCGAGTAAGTGGAAATACACCATGCTCGAGATCCTACAGGGCCTTCGCTCAGCAACGCCGAGCGTCGCGTATGCCATGTGTACGGACTTCATGCGGCATCTTCGCGATGGCGAGGATTGTGGAACGCCCGAGATGATGATAGTGATGGCGGAGCGGCTCCACGATAACGCACGGAAGTTTTCCCTGGATCTCACACTCGGTTTAATTGGCTGTCTGGGGGCGATGTTTGTTTCGCCACGCAGCGTGCAGCGGTGCCATAGTAGCCTTCTCTTCCGCCTTTTGGGCATCATCTTTGATTGTCTTCTTTCTGAGGGCTTTTCCGGCGAGGAAACGGGCTTGCGATCGCTGAATAGCATGACGCTGAAGATTCTGGAGGGGTGTTCCCCAAACGAGGTCTTCAGTGCCCTGCTCTCGAGGATGACAAGCTACTCCACGAACTACCTCCATGCTGGCCAGAAGATCGATCTAAAGTACATCCAGGTAACCGTCAAGTGCATCATGCGGGTGGGGCTCGAGAAAGTTCAGCCGGGGAATATCATTTTGTGCTGTCATGAGTATTTATTGCAGCACCCCCCGAGCGCCTTTCGCGAGCTCGACGATCTGCCGATTCGGACGGTGAAGACTCTTCTCCAGTCCGCCGCGCGGCGCTGGGGGGACGAGCTCCTGCACGTCG